TCACAAAAGGCAATGTTTGATATGTTTTTTAATTTTTTTATAAAAACAAGACTTTGAGCTTTGTGCTTCCCTGCTAACAGCAACAGTCCCTGCTCATACTTAAACCTTGATTAAATATGGAAAAGAGAATATTAATGACCAGTGACAAAGCTCCTCTTGTCAGAATTGGCTTCCTTCTAACCCATTTATTCTGACATATCTTTGGTTATTTTGAAGCACAAAAATATGAAAGCCATTTAATAATGTAATGTCATACATCAGGTTGGAATATGTTGTTAAACCGAGCGCAAAATTTGCTTATTTCTTCTCATTCACTGTGCTGTGCCACAGTGTAACAAATAATTATGAACAGCACATCAGCAACAACAGCTAGGTCTGGGCAATGTCTGTTTGCAACTCTCCACTGGCCAACTTTATCCAGTGTCATTGTTCCACTGAGACCATGTCCTAGCCTTCCCTTGTAACTTTCTTTGCCCAGTTTACAAGAATGTGTTGGTTTGTTGTTGATTTTTTATTTATTTATTTATTTTTTGTGTGTGTGTCTTAGTGAAGCCTGAGGCATCCACAACAAAATCACAGCCACCACAACTGCCTTAAATTCAGTTCAGTTACTTCAAAAAGACCAGAAGCTCCTGGCAGAGAGTACATTTGCTTTAAGCAGCCTGTAATCACAGAGAAGCAATGGGCTGAAATTGTGCCACTGGAGCTAATTACAGGTAATTAGAAGCCAGTTGTCCGCTTCACCCAGTTTTGCTGAAAATACAAAAATTGTGGGTCATCATGTTTTTAAGATGTGTTGCATTCATTTCTGTGGATGTGTTTAACCGAAGCAGCTGCCATTGTTTTGTGTGGATATGAGCAATGGTATCTTTCTGTAAAAGCACAAATCAGCACATTTTAATAGACAGATTTAGATGTATATCGCTCAGCTATTGCCCGGCTTGAGATTTTATTCATAGTTTACATTTCTGATATAAAAAGATAAGATGAAGGGAAAAATATAAAGATGCAGTCAGGAGCTGATATGTTGAGTTGTGTGAAACAAAGTGTTCTAGTGTTATGAGATTGATACTGTGAAACGTACAAAGACATGAAGCAAGTCAAACCACAAGCTCATTCCTCCAATCCACTATCCAGACAATTTAGAGCCACCCCCATGTATAAAACCAGCATGTCTTGGATAAGAGTAATTTTTTTATCTTCCTAATTAATTCTGATGTTTTCCAGCTTTGTGTGGTTTTTTTGCAAGCAGAAAACATCAGCAGAATATCAACACTTCAGTATCCACTCTATTTCAAATGACTATGAAACCTTTCCCATTTCAGACAAACATTCAGCTTTAGTACATGTTGCCCTCTTTTCCCTCAGCCTCTTCTCCAGCCTTGCATTACTTTCCATTTTTATCCATACTTTTCACTTCATCTTCCGTCTCTGCTTAATGGCCTCTGTTTAGTTGTGCTCCAGTGAAGAAGTAATGCCGTTGGTGTTGCTGCTTAGAGGTGAGTGTTCTGGGGCAGAATAAGCTGCAATATGCCTCCTATCCATTATTGATCCATGATTAACTAGAGTTCAGCGTGGGTTCTAGACTTCAGCACTAATGAAATAGGCTTGGCCAACCTTGGAGAAGGGATATAGCTTTACCACAACCCCAACAAACAAAACAAGCTGTGCTCTTACCCTGTTGGAAAGCAGCCAGCCAGGGTAAACGTGTTCGTAGTATTTTTGGTGGAGAGTGTGAAATGACTATAGGGTTGGTGTTGATGATAACGGAGGTCAAAAGTAAAAGGATCCTGTCCCCCTTTACCCTCCTTCAAAAGCTATTTCTGTCAATCGAGGAAATGCTCCGCAAGGCGGCATTGCAGACCTGCTGATCCTGATGCATTATGACACTGATGGTGCTCAACATCTGACCTCTGGGCTGCGGAGTGCTCTCAGATACGCATAGCTTACGTCCCCATCTCAACAAGGATTCAGACACAGCAAACCAACTCTAGGAGCAAAGTGTCAGGGGTGAGATCTTAGCTTCTGGTTTGATTCATACAGGAGAATATTTTCAGTACTGCCTCTCCTTTGGAAGCATCAAGACAAGCCTACTACAATGTTTTTTTAAACTTCTGCTTAAGACAACACTGAACTGTTTCACACTGAGTCGACCAAGCTCTTATTTGTGATGTTTAGTTCCTTGAAATGTTTGAAAATCTGGGACTATACAAACCAGCTAATAAAAACATCAGAAACAAAAACATGCTTGAATGTGGCACTGGTACGAATCTCAACCTCAAGAAGAAACAAAACAGACCTAAATTTCCTGAATTTGTGACCCTTGGGTGTGACTACGTTGATGTTTTCCGCATCAAGAGCTTTGATGGTGCTCTGACTTTAGAGTCAGAGTGAAATCACAGCATCGCCCTGCACTTTAGCAACTTGCACTGCTCTTCAGGGCTTCATCATTAAACATTCACCAGACACACACATACAAGACATCATCTAGGGAGGACTTCATGTGGCCTTACTGGTCCAGCCATTGTTCTCTGACAGAATGTGTCTTTCAGTGGACTTCACGGTTTCTGTGTTGATGGTGTAAGATGTCATCCTGGAGCACCAAAATGATTTTTGCATATTTTGAATATAACTTTTGTTCTTTTGCACTTTTGGTTTGGAAAACAAATTGAACCGTGCTCTTCCTCAGATAATAGTTTATATAGATTTTTAAAAAAAACTCTAATTGATCACCTTTGATCAATGTTCAATAAAACAACACTCCAGTGAAAAGGCAAACATTGCAGATACAATTGTAGAATAAATCAATAAAAAAAAAATTAAAAATAAAGCAAACATTTGTTCGGTCTCCTTGAGGTAGTCAAAAAGAAAACACACTTAACAAATAATTAATAGTAGCAAAGAATATTTTCTTTTTCATAAGCTGACATTATAAAATCACTGCTAGTTATTTTTACAGATTAAAGGTGCTATGCTTAGCATTGTTGGCTAATATCAATTGCCCACAGTAACTATTCAGTTGTTTATTTTGACAATGCAGTTTTCTTTATTAGTATTCCTCCCATTTATTATTTATAGTAGCAGCAGAGGTGGCAGTACAGTGAGTTTGTGTGAGTACTAACTCAACAACATTACGTATTAAGGGAAAGACTGACTTAAACTGGCTGTAGTATCTTAATGATTTGCATGCAACTTGCCTAGAATTAAAATTTGAAAAGTCTTACTTTTAAACTTTTTCATTCGGTAAAGTGTGGTGCAGCTTAAATAAGAAACTCTTATTTGTTTCTTATTTCAAATGTTAGGCTCACAGTACAGCTGGCTGTAGAAGGACAGAAAGGGGAAATATTCAGGTTTTTGTTTCTTTTGTCACTTAAAGTATTTCTTTTCTCCATGTGACAACTACAGCAGTTAGTAGACTATTGTAAATTGTATTAACTTGAATTCCTGACAAAGTTTCAATTAAACTGGTTGTTGGAAGAAGGTGTATCTAGAGTTATTTTAAAAGTCTTTGTGCTTCCATAAGGTAATTTATTCTTTTTTGCATGTAGAAACTCCTGCAATCATCTTCTTCTTGGATCTGTCCAAATGTGTACTTACTTAATGTGCAATACGAATCTGAGAAGTAATGTAAAAACATCATAAAACTTCATTTTTTTAATTTTCTGTTGACAATATTTGATGAAAGTTCTTCCATCCAGATTTTATGACATCTGACCTCGTCTTAGAAAAGCTTACCGTGTTCTTCCTGATGGGGAGTTGAGCGCTTTAAGCTCTTGTGGAGTCTCTGACACCTTGAGAAGCTTTGAGGTCGAGTACGTGTAAGCTGACGGGGCCATCGGTCTTTAGATTTGCTGTGACCTGTGAGTTGTTTACCTACTCAGCCATCATGTGAGTCATTGTGGTCACCTGAATGCCAGGGATAGTAAACAGTCTGAACTGAAGAAACTTTTTAGATGAGGATTGAAATATTAAATTCTTAGCTATTAAAAACTTATTTCCAGGTTCTGTTATCTTAATGACTTTAAACTTGATTGTGAGCCACATTTTATAGTTTACCTTTGCAAATAGCCCTGCGACAGACTTGGGACCCCACTTGGGTCAAGGGTGAACGGATGATGGATGGATTGATGGATGGATGGATGGATGGATGGATGGATGGATGGATGGATGGATGGATGGATGGATGGATGGATGGATGGATGGATGGATGGATGGATGGGTGGGTGTGGGTGGGTGGATGGATGGATGGATGGATGGATGGATGGATGGATGGATGGATGGATGGATGGATGGATGGATGGATGGATGGATGGATGGATGGGTAAATGGATGGATGGATGGATGGATGGATGGATGGATGGATGGATGGATGGATGGATGGATGGATGGATGGATGGATGGATGGGTGGGTGGGTGCATGGATGGATGGATGGATGGATGGATGGGTGGGTGGGTGGGTGGGTGGATGGATGGATGGATGGATGGATGGATGGATGGATGGATGGATGGATGGATGGATGGATGGATGGATGGATGGATGGATGGATGGATGGATGGATGGATACTTTTACTGTGACTTCGCTGCTGTCTCTCAGCTAAGCGTATTATGGATTTGTGGCACAAAAGCTCAGACCTCATTAAATTTTAACAATGTTTTGGAAATAGTTGGGGCAGTTTTTCTTACTTTCCTCTATGGTTGTGAATTACAACTATGCCTTGATATGCAATTATTTCCTGTGTTGGCAGGTTGGAGCAATGTGTGGAATGAAAACAGTTCTTGCTCACTTTTTGTGAATTCAATGCTCGGGTCAATTTCCAAGGGCAGCATGTAGACTCCAGCTATAATCATCTAATTAGTGAGAGTTTGAGTTTTCCAATTAGCATTCAACCTTGAAGTTTCATACAGAGACAAAACTCACCATCTGTCAGCACAATGCAGGGCAGCTCTCTGTGATGGTGATGCATTCACAGCCCTCTAACTGTGTTTGTTTTGGCTGCAGGAACTTCTACTACATCACCATGCTGCGAGACCCGGTCTCCCGCTACCTGAGTGAGTGGAAACATGTCCAGAGAGGAGCCACATGGAAGACGGCTCTCCATATGTGCGATGGACGCTCACCCACCCAGGACGAGTTGCCCACCTGCTACAGTGGTGACGACTGGTCCGGTGTCACCCTGAAAGAGTTCATGAACTGTCAGTCAAACCTGGCCAACAACCGCCAAGTCCGCATGCTGGCTGACCTGAGCCTGGTGGGCTGCTACAACATGTCCTCGATGAACGAGAGCCAGCGCAACCACATCCTTTTGAGCAGCGCCATGAGCAACCTGAAGAACATGGCTTTCTACGGTCTGACTGAGTTCCAGCGCAAGACGCAATACCTGTTTGAGCGGACGTTCAGCCTGCGCTTCATCTCCGCCTTCACGCAGATCAACAGCACGCGGGCGGCCAACGTGGACCTGAGTGAGGCCGTGCGCAGGCGCATCGAGGAGCTCAACTTCCTGGATGTTCAGCTGTATGAGTATGCAAAGGACCTGTTCCTCCAACGGTTCCAGTACACCCGGCAGAGGGAGCACCAAGAGGTGCGATTGAAGAGGCGCGAGGAGAGACGCTGGTTGAGGGAGCAAAGGGACCAGGGCAGACCATGGCCGTCCAAACACAAAGGAAGCGGGAAGGGAGATGGAGACGTATTTGAGAAGGAAACTGAAACCGACCTGCCCACCACCACTGAGGACTATACAAGCCAAGTGGCACGTTGGTGAGGCTTCATCTAACAGAGAGCTGCAGCAGACTCTCTTGTACATCTTAAGAGTCTCTTTGTTCTTCACCATTGTTCTGTCTGATGCATTTATCTGTTTTGTTGGTACAGGAGCTTTGTTTCTTTTAGGGAAAAAAAAAACATTCATTTTGTCTCTGAGAGCCTTTAGTGTCTTAAATTTATAAAAGCTGTTCATAAATCATCTCATTTAACTACTGCCTTAGTTTTACTTTGCAAAACAATAGCGTAAACAAAAAGAAAATCCTGACTGCACTGATTTTAATATCCACAGAAAGGTTTTGAATATGTTTGAAGTTATTATTGGTGTTCAGACTGTTTTCACTCCAGTGGCTTTATATTTTTGAGTAAGAGTTCCAGACATCATAAACATTTAGAGAGGGCAGCTTTGAGCATCAGTTTTTAATGTGTTACAAACACAAAGTGGAATATGAGAATTTATCAGAGAGCAGCAGAGCATTTCTTGAATCTGATCTTCACTTCCCAGATTTGTCCAAAAAACTGGTGAGTCGGCCAACAGTCGATATTTAACAATTAGCTGGTAGATAGAAAGGGGTGAGGAAAATTTGGGTCTCTGTGTGGCTTTCTCTTTGAACTGCTTCACAAGTAATGTGTTGCCCAAAAAAAAAAAAATTAACAGTACTAGTAATCATTTAGAACATTTAAGAAAATTGGAATATTTTCAACAATACAAATGACAGAAATCGGAGATGTCCCGATCAGGGCATTTTCAATTGACAGGCATCAAAGCTTGTGACTGAACACAGCTAGTAAATACTGCCCTTGATTTTGTCAGCCCTAAGCGAGCCCTCCAGCACTAATTTTCAGAACTTTCTTTCTAAATTTATGCTCTCCTTCTTATGTGCACAGCTTGCAAAGCTTTAATATATGCTATCCACATTGTTTTGTTCTAAGCCAATTTGAGCTTTTTCTACTAATATAGGTCGTTTTTGCCCCCCACAATGACTTTCAGAGTAAATGACAGACTATACGGGCCACTGCAGCTTCCTGTTTCTCTGGTCCTGACCTACATGTACTCTCAGCTGTCAAGGCAGAAAAAAAAGCCTTGGAGAACTATTCTTTTAATTTCATGACCCTGAAAGGAAAATGACAGTTAATGAAAACACATGGCTTTTTCAGTCCTTTTGTCCTTTTTTGGCCTCGTGATTAATAGAATCTGCATTTCAATTTTAAAAGTCATATCAAAGCAGAGTAAACATACGAGCATAAGCCTAGACCTTCACCAACCTGCTGCACATGCACATTTAAAGGAGGAAGATTATGATTTGTGAGCTAGTTTAGTGGGATACAATCACAGTGCTAATGTAATATTGATGATATGTAGTGCTGCTTGTTGGTCATTCAGTCCTTTGCTATTTTGCACTTGCATAGCTTTGGATATGTTTCTTCTGGATACAAAATATAGTGAAGCAACACTTTGAGAGGGGACCATAAAGTAAAAGCTACTGAGGTTTTGAGAAAATTCATGGCTTTCACAAGCATCAGACTAGACTAGGTACGCACTGACCAGGTATGAGCAAATGCCTATTCTAATATGACTAATCATTTCAGCAGCAAATAAAAATCCTGAATAGGACATTGATAACAGAAATCCTATTTTATCTGAAAGTCTTAAAGGCCATGCATGGTCAGGTTGACGTGCGGAATTCAGTTCTCATTGCAGCGTCATTTTGTCCTCAGTCTCATGTCGTCCATGATTTGTCACAACTGCCCTGACAAATCTTGCATCCCCTAATTATTGTATGATTGGTCAGAATTTTATGGTTGTGTTTGTTTATGCAGAAAACAGTTCCAAATACTCCCATCCTAATGCAAGTTTTTCAGTCAGAGACCAGGATGGATAGTTGAGAGGAGCAATTGTCAGAGACCATAAAAAGTATGAACCAAAACATGTTCCAGGCGAAGTTTACAGACCAAAGTACTACACTTCCCCTGCTCAGTTCTTCTGGTACAACGCAGCCAATGAACATCCCAGCGATGCCTTCTGTTCTTCTTTAGCTTTTTACAATGTGGACAATAAAATAAAATGTTTTAACTCATCAGTGATTATTTCCTCCACTTCTGTTTACTTTACTGTTTTTAACCAGACATATGACAAAACACCAGGACGTGTAGCTCATGCAGCAGGAGGGGTTTCACAGGAGCTCATTTCAGTGTATCTTGTGGATCTTGAACGGTCTCTGTGAAAACGAATGTCCCACCTTCGGAGATGTCAACCTCGTGACCAGACTTTGACTGTTTGATCATGCTGGGCCCTTTAATTAAATGACAGATGGCTGCTTGTCACAGAAACACAGTATATTTAGATCTGCAAATTTTATACTTTAATAAGCTCTGGCTGATTTAATAAAAATCTCAGCTGAGTCACGAAAATCAAACTTGTCTTTCTTGAATAACTTTCTGACGATCAGTATTTTGGTACTAGATCTTTCTGCATTTGGAAATCCAAACTCCAAAATGGACATCTTTCTGATATTTTTTTCTTATACTTTTTTGATGTAACTTTAGTGAGAGGCATAAAAAGGCTCTTTCATGAATCTGATCCAAGTTCTGTCACTCAAAATATTGTGCATTTTCATCTACTAAAAGGCAAACTAAACAACTCAGACAAAAGATGTACTGTTTTTAGTCAAATGGGTTTTTTTTTAAAGACAATATTGTTTGCATGTACCCAACTAAACCAAATTACTCAAAAATGTGTATGCCAATTTTTTTTGTTGTGGTTTTCAAACAGTTTTCTAATGCGCAGTATGTGGTATCTTACTAACAGAATAACTTCTGTCTGGTCCATGCATGTTTTTGTAATTTGATGTTCACTACGGATGCAGGAATGATTCATATTGAATCATTCATGTTCATAAACAAAACAAACAAAAAACAACCCTGCCAGTAAAAGTGGTGGAGGTGTTTTCAACCTTGGGCTCACAATTAAGTAAAACTGACATTTTTTTAAAGCACTTATCCTCATCTCAACTTATCAACGTTTTAGATTAGCATTTTTATTCTGGTCTATCTGTTTATTTTGTGGCTAATAAGAAATTGGACTACTTTTGAGGGACACAGAAGAAACCTCCAATATCCACAGTGTACATACATTGATGGCCAGAAAAATGGAGCAAAACATCTGCCAATTATTTATTTATTTATTTTTTGGCATATTTATTTTTAACATCTCCACATATGAGAAAAATAAAACCAAACTTAAGTGTCTACCTGTTTTTGATCACTGAATAATAAAAATGTGCTTCATTTTGTTGTACTTTGGATTTTAAAATGAAAATAATATCAACACTTTTGGAGAGAACATCCAGTTGCCAAGAAATGCACGGACCGATTCTCTACCTGTAACTTTTGTCAAGCATTGTATTTGTTGTGAAAAAATGAAACAATTAAATGGTACAAGAGTGGTAAGCTGGGTCTTTTTGGCAGAGTTGAAAGGTATTTGATAAACAATGAATGTGATGAGTTGGGTAAATGTTGGTGGTATGTGGCCTGACTGGGAATGAGATGATCTGTATTCAGTTGTCATGCCCCTCCCCTGTCACACTGGCTGGTTCTTACATATTTGTAGAGCTGACGGCTTCTGTGCTGTGGGCACTGAGATCGCTCTGATGGCAGCAGAGAGCCAGAACTCAAAGACAAAGCCTGCGAGAAGATGGTTGAAGAAAATAAAACATTTCTGTCACTTCTCTGTGCCTGATAGTTTCCGGCCCCTCAAAGCTTGTTTTTATCTCTTTAAAAGGCTTTAGTGGCCTTTGTGCTTTTATGTGTCTTGTCTCATGCTCACTCACAGCTCATGCATATCAAATTAAATGTATGCTAAATGTCAGCTCAGATATTTGCTGCTATTATGTTAATGCAATTTGTCACATTTTTTTTTCCTTTTTCTTCCTGATTGCACTTTCTCATGAAATACCTCATGTTGCACCGTTTTGCTTAATCTCGCTCCATCTTGTCTGAATGATTCATCGAGTCGTTGCAGAGCATGTGTTGAATGAATATTTTGTCAGCTAATGGGAAGGCGTACATGTATATGCGCTTGCTGGTATGGAAGCACTTACATCAGTAGCGGGTAAAAAGAGGAGGAAGTGTTGCACATTCTGAAAACTCACTCAAGTATATCAAGTGTAACTCACAACATTATAGGACAGTTCTGCATATGAAGAATTCATGCCATTTTTAATGTGGCAGCAGAAGAATACTGCAGGAACATCCCTTCAAGAGGTATTGTATATTTTAGAATGCTTTCCCACTTTATTCTAAAACAACAATAGGCTGTCCTCTGAAATTCAGAGGCATTATTCTTTTGAGATGGATCAGTGTAAGCAGATGGATCAGTTAGCAGGATACATACTTGTTTTCATCTTTGTAAAACTAGGAAAAACAGTCAAAGCAGTTTCTTTCTGTCTTTTTTTTTTTGGAAAAATTATTACTTTAAAACTTTAAAACTTCACTGTGCACAATCTGGAGCTATCTTGCGATAGACCTACAGGGGAATATCCCATTGTCTGAGTGAGGATAAAGTCATCTACATGTCCAAATGCAATAATTTTGGAAAAGAAAGTGGACAAAAGTTAAAATTTCTGGACCGTGTCTGATTTGTTCACATGGACTATCTTCTGTTAGTCCTATGACAACACAGGACTGACAGAAGATAGGATGAGTCAAAATCACATGTTCTGACAGTTAAAACATTTGTGAAGACTGGTAGTTAGCAGTCTACCACTTGTGAATTTTCCCTCCAAATTCATATTATTGTGAATGTGTGGTAGTGTTCTGGAGTTTACAGTCTTAATCTGATAAAATAAGTTTGTCGAGGTCAACAAATGTGGGAATCACTTTACTGAGGAAAAGTTATGATATCTTTGATGATGCTTTGGCTGAAGTAACTTGACTCTTTCTCTGACATCAGTCTGAGAAAGGTTTGACACACTCCTTTCTTTCAGCTGTTTCAGAGTGTATAACATATTTGAAGTTTGGGTCTTTGTCCATGTTCTCTCATAAAGCTTCAGCCTCGCCTTCATGTTTTCCTTAGAGAGCAAATGTTTCCTCACTTTACATCCCACGAAAATTTAATTGGTATAGTCTCATTTTGATTTTACACGTATCCACTTTCATATAAACATGAGTGAGAGTCTTCTATAGGTCCAGTTATAATATTTTTGAAAACATGTATTTTGGCATCTTGCAGTCTGAACTTACTCTGATAACCAAACCTCTGGATGTTGACAGTCATTTTCATTGTCTTCACTTGTAGAAAGTTTCATAGGGAAGTCACAGGACAAAACATAGTAAAAACCAAAACCTACATTTATCTCCAAAAGGTTTTAACAAAAACTGGAGTAGATATATAAATAAGCTGTCATTGTCTAATAAAAATTTGTAATGATTATCAAGAAGTCCGGACAGCTATTGCTCCAGACTACTTTGATAAATGTAAAGAAAATCTGCTTCGTTTGAAAAAATTAAGTGTGTAAAGAAACTGCTCAAAATTCTTACACGGGACTGTAGTTCTGTTTTTGTTTGGGTCAGACAGTTTGTGGGGCTCTTGGCTTACTTTCTGCCAAAACGACATGCAGCCTCTCTGGCATAACGCCTCAAGGACATCCTCCTCAAGCACCCAGTCAGAATGACATTTTATTAGTCTGTGATTATTTTTTGCTTGCAGGAAACTGATGGCTGATAAGCAAGGAATCAATTTTTGCCAATGGATCCCCAACGATCCAACACACCGTGCATATATGTATATAAGTGTGTTCCTGGGAAACAAAACCTAAAAATGAAAACACTTAATCAGTTAATAAACATTTGGTGTCTTTTATACGAGATCTTTTTTTCCTGTTACCATCATAAAACCACAGCATGATGTAGAATTTGCTGTATGTCACTTCTGTGGCTTTTACAAATTATACCTGGGATGATTTCTTTTAATAAGAGAAATGTACGTCACAAAATGATGTAAATAAAGTCATAAAGAGAAGCAAATGTGAGACGTGTCATTCTGTAGGGAGGGTTTAATGAAGTTGTACTGCCACTCTATGAAAGAAAATCTCCCAGATGGTCTGATTTATCTGTTTAATTTAAAGGATTTTAACTGCTGCTGAGGAATGGCTTTGTCTGACTGTAATTGGTTACATCTCAAGAGAGATTTCTCTCTGTTTTATCTGTACATAATAAAGCCTTGCGATGAAAAGAAATATAAAAGCATTTTTGTGACTTTTTTCTGCCTTTTTTTCCTGTCAGAAAATAAAAGGAAAAGAATAACGTCGTTTTGGGTCTCTATGGAAGAACAGCCTGCACTAAACAGTGGTGTTATCATGAAATGTTTGACATGAAAAGTTCTCAAACTTGATCATATTTTGTCACACTACAAGCACAAACTTCATGGTATTTGACTTGTATTTTATGTGATGTAGTAGCAGAAAGTAGAGAATAATTGTGAAGCAGAAGAAAAATAACATATGGCTTGCAAAAGGGTTTATTTGTAAAAATGTGGGAAGCACATGTATGAAGCAACCTTTACTTTGATTTCCATAAATAACAGATGAGACCAAATTTAAGCTTTTGGTCTCCTCACAAACTGCTGTATGTCAAGAAACTAATACTATACGTGTGTAGTACTAGGTTTTATATTGTCATACTTACACGTAGTGGTCGCAGCATTATACTGTGGAAATACTTTTCTTCAAAAAGAACTGCAGCTACAGTGGAAATCCTGCAAGAAAAGGATTACAATATATCAAATAGTTCTTATATGTCACAAACATCAATTCAAAGTTCAAATCTATATCTAGCCACAAATTATTATCAAGACTTGAAAACTGATAATAGAGACATATGATGACAATGGTAACTGTGGCAGAAGTTGAATCTGGAAGAGACAGAACAAATACACACCACACTTTTCAGATTTTTCTAAATCATCTTCCTTACACCATGAAGGTCTATCATATAAAAATCCTGATAAAATGCAGTGACAGTTACAAATGTAAACTGTCAAAATGGCATGATTAGTTTTATTAGTCAGTGTCAAGACTGTACATTTGCATGAGGCATAAGCAAGGCAATCTCTGTATCTCATTTGAATTTCTCCAGCATGATATTTGACAGGAAATATTGCATTCAAGAGATTATTTCTCAATAATCTAAATGAAAACACACTGAGTAAAATCTTGTTGACATCTAGATCTGTGTTCTTGTATGAAGAAATGATGCTTTTCCAAAGCTGAAGACACAGAAGCTCCTTCACATGCCCCGTTATACATAGTTAGTCCCTCTGCCTTTGCTGAGTTGGCTTAATATGTTCTGAAACACAATATATATTCCAGGTTAGTCTCCAACGTGCTCAGCTTTCTGCTTTCCTTCAGGTTAAATGGCTAGAACTGCCAGCTCAGCACGTCTGCTGGTGGCTGCGGCAAGGTTTTTTTTTTTTTGTCCAGATGGCATCACCGTGTCAGTGACAGTTACAGTCAAGGATTAACCTTAGGAAATGTATAAGAACTTATAAACTATGTGGCTAAGCTATTCATATTGGTATTGTTTTTCTTGTGTTTTATGACATTCCCAAAAATAAGGATTTGATTTTAGTTGGAGAAATTATATTAGCTTTATGTGAAAAACTTTCACATTTTGCTGTGCTGTTAGTGAGTGATGAAAATATATATTTAAAAAAATCCAAAAAAGAAAATGTGTTATTTTACTCCAAATGTACATGAACTCCACATTGTTTCTCTCAGGATCTGTGGATTTATTTTAATCATTGGTTAATACTATGTAAATCCCATAATAACCCCAGTCCATCCAAGTTTTATCATGAAAGAAGAGTTCCAATTACACTGACTACAGATCTAATTGCATTACTGATCCACAGTAATTTTATCCAAGGCTTTTGTTTTACCAAGATCCAATCCTGAATTCTCATATTACAGTTTTTTTGGGGGGGAGTTTTGGGTTGGGTTTTTTTTTTTCGGTGCCTTGGTGCATTTCTCTAAGTACAATTATCATAACTTAGTTCAACTTTAGTTAGTTGTGCACATCACAGTAACTGTTTTTCAATCATTCTAAGAAATGAAGGACAATAGTCCATTTATTTTCAACAATACTTATGAACGCTGAGTCAACCATTAAAATCCTTGTTTTTTTTATGGTTGAGTCAAAAATGTCAAACAGTTTTGCAATAGCTGTGCAGATTGTTTCTAGAGTTGAGAATTTTCAGGTAGTGTCACCAAGATCTGATTATGTTGCACTGGAAAATACAGAATGTAATGTCAAAAAACATGTTCAAACAATTTGCTTATTTTGTTCATAAACATGATGCCAGAATTTCTGTTTTGCTGACATTAACATTGTCATCAACATGAATTGTTAGTGAGGAAGGGACAGAGCAAATTACATGCTTTTGCCGATTAGAAATCAGGTTTTGGACTTTAATTGGTTTGAGAAATGCACTAGGTGCTGTGCAAAAGTTAAGACGGATGTTAGAAATTCGCCAAAGCGCCCGGACAGAGTTATATGTGAACGATTAAATCATAGTTAAGATATGACTGCCATCTTGTGGCCAAATATGGTAAATGCTGCTAATCTTTTCTACTAATCTTTTCTTTTCTAATTTCTTCTGTAATAGTTAAATAATAACTAAACACACATATTAGATCTTATTTTTAAAGCGCTTTTCAGCAACAAGGCAGTTCAGTATTTAGGTGATAAAAGCACAAAAAGATTGAATAGGCTACATAGATATAGATGCATAATGTTCCAAACAGGAGCCCAAACCATTTGGGTAGCAGTAATATTTAATTTTCAAAACATAAAAGTGGATCCAAGAAAATGCCTTATTAATAGCTTTATTTTAGAAGACTTTAATTTGAGCTACAGAGTAGAGCAGCTATGCTCAAAACCAACAAAAGACCAAATGGGTGAACGTGAACAACAATCAGTGATAAGGTCACATGAATGAAAGCATTGCCTGCTGCTTTCTCTTTGTTTTTATATCTGATTCGCTTTGACAGTGACATTTTCCTCAAAGGGAGCAATATGGTGACCTTTCTTTGTGGCACTCAGTGCCACATTTCCAGTTTGAGATCTGTCACAGTGACAGATCAGATAAAGCTCCTCTGTGGCCTCCAGAGGGCTGAAAAAAAGCAAAGGAAGAAGAAAATAGTGGTGACTGTTTCAGTTTGTGACAAGTGATGTAAACTCTGTGAAGCAAACTTTTATGTGAGAAAAACAATATTCCAACACAGTTCCGCAACACTAGTTTTTTTGAAACCATGCTCAGTTAATAATTCAAGATGCTATATGTATTAAAAATGATGATACATTTTTAAAATAGGTAAAGTTGCCAGAAACATACTTTACTCAAGTAAAAGTAGAAAGTTCAAACAATTACCCAAGTTGGACTAAAATATGTTCAGTAAAATTTCAACTTGTGTGCCGTGAACTGTTCTGATCTGATTTAAGAAGAAAAAAGAAACAAATATCAGTTTTTCTCAAACTAAAACATTTGAAATCAGTAATTACAACAGTTGACATAAGCATGTTAGAATAAACAAACTGTCAGCAGTATGCTTATTTGACCTCCAGCAGTCTCAGCGGACAGAAAATAACATCAGAACTATGAAGCTTGTTTACGAACGAAAAGTTTAATCAGACGGGCTTATGTGTCTGATGCATTCTGGTTTATAATGTTTTTGTTTGTCAGTCTGTTAAATAACTCAAGCAAAAAATGTACTCAACTCAGAACAAAACAAAATCGTATGCAGCTGTAAAATTCCTGCTAGAAGAATAAATATACATACATATTTATTTATTTTGAAATCCTCAAATTAATTTAACCAAGTATAGGTTCTTAGTTACAATCCATGATTAAGCATTTAACTAAAAACATTAAATATTTTTACCTTGTTGCAAAGTGAGACATAGAGACAGCAATCATCTTGGGTTACAGTCTTCAAAGCATTTTAATGATATAGAACGCAGTTGTTACTCCTACTTTACCTAAAAAAAAAACAGAAAAACTTGGAGTATATGTAATATTTTACCCCAATTTCTTCCTGATAACTCAACACTTGAAATCTAGTGTGGCAAACTGTCTTTAGCAAAAAGAGTACTTTGCGTAAAATAGTCTTAATATTAATTCAGTTGATCTTTGACAGCCTCAGAGATATTTTCAGATCACAGGACAAGCAAAGTTATGGAGAGTCTTCTGCTCAGAAAAGACCAAAAATGTACATCGTAAGTAATAATAATACAAATATATACCATTATTTTAAAACTTTTATTTGTAGATAAAAACTTTAAAAAAAACAGTGTCTACTTTATTCATCTTTAAGTAACATTGTGACCTCATCATACAAACCCCTTTTGAAATACAAAAATGCGTAAAATTTCAAGAATTATAAATTCTTTTGCAAGAACTGGTCTGCATGTCAGTCTGTGTAGTACTGCTGATTAATTAGCAAAACTGCTTGTCAGCAAATCTTTTCAAGATCTTGACATCTTATCATTTTAAATACAATCTGCTTTCTAGAAATCTGGGAGAAAAGTAACGTTGGTCATTTGTACAGTTAACATATAGTACCAGGTAAATAAAATAGTGATTGGAGGCAATTCAGACCTCTGCACAATAGAGTGATACGTTTGCACTTTGTGAGAAAATATTGCTCCTCCTTCTGTGTTTGTTTGTCTATCTCCTGCCTGCATGATCCTATCTGGGCTAGCTTCTATGTTATGTGACCTTGAGCGTATAGCTGCAGTGGTGCATTCTGCTGCTGATTTATTAGCTTCTGACTGCAGCTGCACAAATTAAAACTTTTTAATAAAAAAATAATAATTAGCAAGAAGTCAACCATATATTTGTTTATATTAAAATATGAACGCGTTTACTTCTTTTGGCCACAAAACAATTGTGAATCCTTTGGTGGAATTGTAATTTATGTTTTCTAAATCAAATATTGCATTTCTTAATGAGTTGTTTATACGTGTGTATGTAATAGTGTTTACATAAAGTAATCTAAAAAAAACCCCACATGGTTTTACTGCTGTTTCCTTGGTAACAAGCAAAACCTTGCCCTTTTAGCCTGCTGGCATTCGTGTGGACTGTACCACTCGGGGATGCTAACGGGGGTGCTAGCACACCCACCTTTCACAACTGCTATGCTTCACTCGTATCACAGCGTCAGAAATATCTAAAACACATATATAATACTTAAGTATAACCTCTTGTTAATTCTTTGAGGCTTAACACGACAAATATAAGGGCGTATTTTATTTATTTGCTTTTCGGCCCACCCCGGAAAACTACGTCATTACATTAAAATGACGGTCGTACAGTAAGCTGTCAAAAGCTTGTTGCTTAAATCTTTGCAGCGCTGCAAAGTGGGGAAGAAATTAGGTCGGACAAGCTTTAATTCTTGGTGCGGGGCGGGAATTAGACGGACTATCGAGCAGTCACATTGGGGACACTTGACATCTTGTTTTCCGCGAGTTCAGTCGCCGTTTTGTCCGTGTGTCCTCCTGGCTGCTGCTGCTGCTGCTGCGTGATATCCGTTCCTCACGATGAGGTAAGCAGATCCTCTCATTAGCGCTGACACAAGCTAATATACGACAGTTAAGGTATTCCGTCGTGTTTTATAGTGACAGTGCTGCATATAGGTCGACGGCAAAGTACAAAAAACATCCTTTTGAGGCGAGGGAAAGGCTGTAAATCACTGCTTTCCTTCAACCGTCAATCTGTGCTGATGACAAGGTGTGATAGAAGATAGCGTCAGATAGATTACCGGTTCCCAAAGTTGGGCTCGGGGCCCCGCTGGTGGTCGCCAGTCGGTATAGGTTGTGGAGATCAAATTCAGAAATCAAAATGTATAACCAAACTGTTTGATGAAAGCTAATGTTTGATAAATGTGTTAGAAGGAATTAAAATTGTTCTAAATGCATAAAATACAATGCATTGGCAGTTTTACTCAGTATGTGAGTAAAAGACTTTGAAGTATATGTTTAAATATTTAAAGATCTATTTGTTAGATTTACATTTACTACTCATTCCTCACTGTACAGTTTTATCCCGGTCTGCTGTGGATTTATTATTATCATTACTATTATTCGTAGTCGCTGTCATAGCAGTAGAAGTAGAAGTATTAGTAGCTTTAGTCTTGCTTTTGTGGTGGTTTAAAAGCTTATATCTCTGTGTTTCCATTTGATTTTTAAATTTTGCTGCTGTAAATTGGAAATTTTCAACCTAAGGGAGAAATAAGGGAATATTATGTTCTAAATACTAAATTTGTGTATACAGATTAAAAATCAAGAAATGAAAAGTTATCTCTTTTTTCATTGTATAGCCACTACTCTTAAGTGAGAGGCACACAGTTACTGACTCACCAATAATAACAACTATTCACCCATGTGCTTGGATTACAAGTGTTTACTTAATCATTAGTTAGATCATAAGTCACTGCCACTGCTAATGTGGGCCTCTGCAGTTTAAAAAGTTTGGGAAAGACAGTGATAGATGATTTAATGAGGTCACAAACTATGTTGTATTTATTTAATTTTAGCTCATTTCAAAAAGCGTACAACTGTATTAGCCATTTGTCTATGCTAGGTAGAACCGTATTATATGTTTGGACTGTTTTGTGGCCTAAGAATGAAAACAAAAATCATCCAAAACATGATCAAAGTTCACAGTATGCTTTGAAACAAATTAAAGTTTCAAGACTAGGATGAAAAAAATCTGAGGCATTAATGTGCTTTTCAAAAGTTGTACATGATACATACATGTATAAGAGAGCAACACAGTTTTATATGGTTTTGACAGTAGTCTAAAAATAAACCTATCTGAAATTAAAGCTTGTCTTTTATAGAGTTGAGTTGAGTTTAGATAAAGTTGTACTTTAGACAGGCTTTAATTAAAATACAGTTTGTGACACATGCCTGGTTGCGAAGTAACTGACTTTAAGAACATGTTAGAATAATAAAAACATTCGAGTCAGTGCGCTTTTGTGCTTTCAGTGAGTAAATATGGGACTCCAGTTGTCATACTAATAGGTGGGTTAGCAGGAAGTTTTCCAGTTGCGGATCTGCTGCCACGTTCCTATTGGACGGTTTCAGACTGGGAGGGATCTTTCCAGAGCCCAGCACACAGACAGGAAGGGGGTGGCTGGAAATGTTTTAGTCAGAGCCTGGCAGACAGTTTGTTTTGACTGTTTGGGAAAAAAAAAAACAGTTTTTAGTCTGTGAGTCGGTGGGACAGGAAGGAGAGGGTAAGAGTGTTTAATTGTCATGACTGTAACAACCAAGCAGCTCAAGATATTCTTCTAGCTTTCACTATCAGCTTCAGAAAGCAGTTTAGAGCAGTGAGAGAGCCAGCCTTTCTTTGACCCGTTTCCTGACTTGCGCCTAAAGGAATTTGCTGCTGTATGCTTTGGTTTTTCACAGACGGTTGCTGAAAAGAAAGAGGAAGAACATCAGAGGTCTGTCTTAAAGTCTGAGCATGATCTTTTCTTGAGGGAGAAACCAAAGATTTAAATTCATAAATGAATTAACTACCACGATTTTCCACCTCTTTAGTCGTAGATCTACTGTACAGATTCAACTCTGGTTTCTCTTCCTCTTCCAGGGTCGGGTGTTTATGTCAAATGCTATTATCTCTTATCTGTATAAAGCGTAGTGAACTTGGAGTCAGGATTTCCGTCCAGATGTTCATGTAATGTTATTATCAGACCTGGTAGAGCGCTGTATTTGACCTATAAACTTTAGTATACAAAGAAAAGTATGTATTGCTGATGTAGATTGGCACAGTAACCAAAAGTTTGGCACACATGCTTGCTAACTATAGATTGAAGCTTGGAAATATTCACATACTGGTATTGATTAATTGATCCTCATCTCTCTACTCAGCTACATGGTCGAGCAGATAAACAGCTGAGGCTTTGGGCGCGTCATGCAACAAGCTAATGTTTGTTGAGGAAATGTGGCCTAGAAAAAATTGTTGTTATGTAGGTGAAATGTGCAGCTTTGTTGTTACATTACAAGTTCAGTTAGAAATGAGAATATTTGTAATCGCTCTCAAAAAATAATTAAATAGTGCTGCGAGCAAGATCAAAGAGAAAAAATCTTACTGAGATGTAGTTGGATTTTTGTAATAACTGTGGTAAATATTTCTTTAATTAGAGAGAGGCTTTGTGGATGGAAAAATTATAGTAGAGTTTAGCATAATTTGAGCGTCTTTTGTAAGTGTTTTTGGTGTAGGATGGAAAATGTAAAAAAAAAAATTAAATACAGGGTTAGTTCTGTATGGATTCAATGTTTTAAAAAATAAAATGTTTAACTATTGTTCCTACATACTAAAATGATTTAATTACATCTAATGTATAACCTGAAAAAATGCATACCTCAGACAGACATTTTTCTAAAGACGTAAAATAATAATAGGTTTGTGAATAAATCTGTTTCTGTTAACATTTGGAACAGTAATCAAATGTTGCTGTACAGTTAGAGTGGTGCAATTTCAGGCCCCTCCAGACCCATTTCTGGTGTCTCATTGAAAGGACTTTTGGACTCGTACATCGAGAAATTAAATTTGCCTTGTTTTAAATGTTACTATTCTAGACCTTGGAATAATTTGGCGTTAAATACAGGATTTTCTGACTCCTGTCTCATGAATTGTCTTTGTTGTTTGTGCCGACAGACTTTTAGTGACTTCATTTATTAATCATCATTTTACAATGATTGCTAAATTTTTCATCAACAAACAATGACTAGACTGTGATTAGTCATAATTTGAGAACACTGAGTTCAATGTCACTAGGCACAGCTTGTATTATTATTATTATTATTATTATTATTATTATTATTATTATTATTATTATTATTATAAGTCCTTTGCTATTGTGAGACTTCTTGTCTCATTTGCCATGGAGACCAGTTACTTACATCAACAACAAAACATAAAAACAGTAATAAAACAATCCAGTAAATTCTTCTAAAGATCAGTTCCAAACAAAATCAACAGGGAAATTTTTCTGAGAACAAGGCCTACAGACTTACCCTGTTGAAAAATGAATGTACTAAGTATGTTAAATCTTAACATACTTGAGCATACTTTAAGTCATGACTTATGTGTATACTTCAAGTTCACTTAGGATTTGATAACTTAAAAGTGTAACATTTTGGAACAACTAATTTTGTGCTTAGTTTAATAGTCTTTCAATTGTATTAAAGTACAATTTAAAGTGTACTAAACATACTTCACCATACTTTTTTTGGACAACTTAAGTTGAACTGAGTGCACTTTAAGTATATTACTTTTTATTTAATATTAACATGCTTGATTAGTATATTTTGAGTGTACTATTTTGTGATTGAATTACATTTAAAATATACTTAGAATGTATTTTAAGTATATTGGAATTACATTTTATATATTAGTAGTGTGATTACAGTATGCTACAATTACACTTTTGGTATATTATAATTGCTAATGAAGTACTTTTTAGTTACTTAATATCATTTATTATTCTGCTTTGCCACTTTGTACATTACCTGCTTCATACATCCTACAGCAAACACATCAGGTACCAGAACACAGAAGGATCATTTACAACACACTTTCCAGGTGAAACTAATTATATTATACTTTCATTGTATTTCCATTTTGGTAACACTTTATGTGATGGGGTGTGCATAAGAATGACATGACACTGTCATAAACATAACACCTCATATTCAGAGTGATGTAAAACTGAAGATACCTGCTACATTTATTGTGTACAACAAGTTGTTGCATCTCTGTCACTAAAGTGTCAATGTTGGATATTTTGGCATGAACACATTAGTTACTTTGTGAAACAATAAGGATTATTACTTTTTATTCTTTGCTGTTTTAACAAAAATAGTAAAAGATTATTAAGGCACCTAGAAAGGCAATTGATACAAGCATACTTTTAGTATACTTCTTATATATATTTGTAGGTAGTACACTTAATACTTAATATACTTAAAATGCACTTTCACAAATGTAAGTATGTTTGAAATATACAAAAGTATAATTTTTTTTACTAGAGTATTTTCAAATATTTTTGTTAAAAATTTGAACTCGTCATGTTTCGGGTGGAAGGACCAAGGAAGGAAAATCCTTTATTCACAAGCTCAGTATTGGTATCAAGAAATGACCTAATTAAATCCTATCTGTTAACATAAAATAGACTAACGTTCTCAAAAAGTAATACATTATACACCAATTCAAAGAAAATAATGAATGGATGACATCTGTCAGTCTCTTAAAGTGTCTCAAAGTCATCCCTATGGCCAAGTGCTGCTGTAGTTCTTCATGAACTGGACCAATATCTGATCGAACCTGGAAATCTATTTTCCAGCATAAGGAGAAGTTTCACATGTTGGTTTGATATCACTATTTGTTTATTGATCTGAAACATTTCAGTGTGAAAGGTGAAATCTACCTTTTGCCCTCATGTCAGATGGGAGTAGGAATGTCACAATAGTAAATTTGGCTGAACAATAAAGTCATTGCGATCATTTTCAAGTTTCATCATGGTAATGGAATAATAATGCAAGAGCACATTCTCAAAGATCAATAAACTTTAAATTCTGATGACCATATAAGACTGGAACTGGAATATATTAACAAAACAACTGAGGCTATAAACAAAAAAATATAAAGTCTCTGTAGACAAAATTGTTGTTCAAAGAAGCAAGTTGAAAGCAATTCATTAGACTGAAGACTTTTGACATCCAGTTTTTGAGGAAATTGAAAAATCATGCAAATGGAAATTTTTGAGTTTGTTTTAAATTTATTATACAATTATTACTAATTCATTCATTACTGATTAAGACAGACCTGGATAAGACTATTTCTTAGTATCAACTATTCAATGAGTAACTAGTGAGCTATTCCCTTTATTTATTAAAATAATTATTTTTTAGTCTCACTGTTTCTTAGTAAAACAACAGTGCAAATGAAACAAAAGAAACAAAATAACCAAATTAAAATCTTTGAAAACGTTTTCAAAATGACCTAAAATAATTAGTTTCAAATTAACATATTGTCGGTTTTACTGGAAGGCATTCTAGCTTTAATTGTGTTTTTTCCCTTTCAGATCAGCAAAAGACGTGCCTTTGAGAAGAAAACCCCAGCCTGAAGTTGGCTCCCGGTCATAGCTGGCCTATCCTCTGATTTTAAACACCAATTTAAGAACTAGCATATGAAATCTCGACAGGAAACCTTTTGGTGCAAGTTTGCACACATTCAGCACCAAAGAGATTACTGAACTTCAGCCATAAGAAGAAACGGAGAGAAGAAAATGACCTAAGAACGTTTTGCTGAAATAACATCTGGATGTGAATTCTTTAAAAAAAGAAAAGAACAAAACTGGATTTACACTTATATGTTGTATTAATCTTCAGCTATTATTGTGGGATTTCTTTGAACCGTGAGGTTGACATTTAAAATTTACTGTGTGGTGAAACATCTTGGACATGGCGCTAAATATGTCTTCTGTAAGAGACACCAAATGGCTGACGTTGGAAGTCTGTCGCCAATTTCAGCGGGGAAACTGTTCACGCAGTGATGAGGAATGCAAATTTGCACATCCACCCAAGAGCTGCCAGGTGGAAAATGGAAGAGTCATTGCCTGCTTTGACTCTTTGAAGGTAAGATACATTATTTGACTGGATAGAGTGTGATTCATAACAACTGCTTTGGTATCAAAACTCACCGTTTGAAGTAAAATTACCAAATTTGTTTGCTTTGATATGGAAATGTTTGGATATTTCTATTAGCAGTGACTTTAATAGTCGCTGAGTTAAATGTACCATTTACAAACTTTGATCTTAAGCAAGATTTAAAGATATTTTATACTTTATATCTGCTTTTGGTGGCTGAAAACATCTTCTAAAGTTTTGCACAAAGTCTTCTGATAAATTACTTTGTTAGTGCAGCACTTTGATGTGCATTCCCCTGTAAAGCTTTTATTCATTTGAACCTTGTTTACTAAAGTCGGTAAAGATATCTAAGAATGTTTGATTTGTCATCTGACTTCATGTTTGCATGGCATATCAAACATATCAAATTCCTCTGTTGTTGTTCAAAATGGGAACAATACGAGAACATTCCATTGAGGTAAAATAAAAATATTCCAAGTTTGCTGTCAGAGAAATGTGATTATACTGATCCAATAAAATATTCAAGATTCTTTATCAAGGGTGCTAATGAATATGTAGGGTCTTAGTTTGCTTTAGTTTTCTGGACTGATCAAACAAATGACATTTAATAAGATAAGTAATTATAATCTCCCCCTTACAGTTTTAATAACACAGAAATAATCCTGTCCATTTTCAGTGTTTATTTTCCCTAATGAAGATTTCTCAAAGTCCCTCATCGGATTAAGATGCCGCCACTTCCAGACACTTAAAATCAAAACCACGCTTAATTAGAACACAGTCATCTCAAATATCATGTAAAATCCCAAACAACCAAGCAATTTTCCATTAAAAAAAGACAAAATACATGCCATCTGTTGTTATATTTGGTTATATTCAAAATAATTAATCTTGGATCCAATTGAATTAGAGCCAGTTTATCCTTGCTCCCTTTGCCTGTATGGAGCCAGTTCTGCCTTAATCCACTCTAATACGTTCAGTTGCACGTCCCGTACAGCTTGCTCCTGGGATTATTCTCATGTTGAGTCTTTGCTTGAGCTCTTCCTTTTACTTTCATGAACTGCCCCATGTGCTCTTACAGTCGAGAGGCTAAAAGCATTAACAGAAAGTGTAGATCCCTTATTTTGTTATCTGAAAGGGGGAATTGGAATAATACTTAAAATATTTTAAACATATCTGTAAATGTAGCCATAGAGTTTTTTTTTCTTTTTGTGACATAATAAGAATTATTTTAATTCTTCTTAATATCAGCTTTAGATATTAGCAACATTTTATTTTTTAGTGGATCAGAGTCCATTAAATTACAGAGGTGAGCCATTGAAGTGAATTCTTGTCATTTTTGCAGACTTGCTCTTTCTGCTTTATTATTACCTCATGAACATGGAACTAGCTCTTTACCCTCAAATGAAAGCAAAATTAATTAGTTGTACATTTTCTAGTCTTGCATGCTTAGCAGCCAAGCTTTGAGCTTCTTGATTTTAAATCCGTCAAGCAAATTACTATAAATGACTATCTCACTGGATACTTTAGTTTTGGCTTCTTTAGATAGCGAGGTGTGCTTGCTGCTGTAAAAATGCTGGAGGTATGATTTTCTTCACCACATTAAACTTTTGAACTTCAGTTATGAACCACTGACTCCTATAGATTTACTGAGGGGAACTGTAGCACTTGAATTTGCACTGACCAAGTGAAGGAATGTATTATTAAGTGAAGATTTTTTTTTCGGAGTCTAAGCTTTGAAATTTATAAATAAATAATATTAAACCACCACATTTTTTTTATAATAATCATCTTTGCCTATTCAGGAAGATGTTTTTACCTATACTTTTTCTAATGTTTAACTGTCTTCATCCTGCTATGTCCATATAATTTATTAAATTCCTGGCAATTACTGCACAAATGTGTCCTAACAGACCCAACTTGCTGTAAGAGGAATGTGCTCTGGCTTTGATATTTGATTCATTGGTATCTCATGACTTGTCGGAGTTGTAGGTTTTGTTGATGCGCAAAACCTATTCTGTTGCTTTGATGACTTTACACTTCAGCCTCAGGAGGTGCATCGAGGCATTTAAAAGACAGCTGCTTAAAACTATTCTGTAAACTGAGAAAAAAATGAAATGTAACATTTCGTATCTATATCAAAAATAACAACTCAGACAAATTTGGCTGGTCTACATTATTAATGCAACATGTAACACGACTCAATGAAAAGTTGGAGAGTTTCAGGGACCTGCAATATTTTTCTTTGGATCAGAAATACTTACCACTGAGATAGTAGATGTGAAATATTTAAAACATTCAGTTTTTGGCCTTAAATAAAGCTGCTCTACAATTTTATTAGTCATATTGCTATAATGCTTGACATGTTTTATTGTTTAGTTATGAAACGATTATATGTTAAGTATATTTTTACATCATTAAGTAAAATGGGTGATGCTTTTATATGAGTGTATTTTAAATGCATTGTTTCTTTTGTCAAAGATCAATAGTTGTATTCATAACAGGGTGAATACAAATGGAAATTTGACAGCATCTGTGTTTATTTTTAATTTCTTTTTGGGTTTTCTCACATAATAGGGCAGATGCTCAAGAGAAAACTGCAAGTATCTCCATCCTCCTTCTCATCTGAAAACCCAGTTGGAGATAAATGGGCGCAACAACCTCATCCAGCAGAAGACAGCTGCTGCTGTGCTTGCTCAGCAGATGCAGCTGATGATCCCTGGACCAAGTCTGCAGCCTGTGGTGAGGTCCTTAGAATGACTCAGCAACAACTTTTATTCTTGACTAAAATGTAACACAGGTCCTCTCCCCTCGATGTTAACATCTTCTGCTCCACAGGGACTTGGAACTAATACCAGTCTTGGTTATGGGTCATATATCACCCCTTTGAGCCATGGAATGAGTCTCATTCCCTCAGACATCCTCTCCAGCACCTCAGTTCTTGTCCCTGGCAGCTCAGCTGTCACAGTGCAGTGTTCCTCCTCTTCTTCCTCATCTTCTTCTTCTCCATCACAAAAGCTGCCACGTGCAGACAAATTAGAGGTATTGAAAGCTCCAGGAAGTTTAATTTAATAGAAAAACACATTAATACTTCTAGGGCTCATATTGGACTACGGCTAAACTCCCTCCTCTATCTTAATAACTTCTTTCAGGTGTGCCGGGAGTTTCAGCGGGGTAACTGCTCGAGAGGGGAGACAGATTGCCGCTTTGCTCATCCCACTGACAGCCCAATGATTGACACCACCGATAATACAGTCACTGTTTGCATGGACTACATCAAGAGCCGCTGCTCCAGGGAGAAGTGCAAGTATTTTCACCCGCCTGCACACTTGCAGGCCAAAATCAAATCCAGTCAACAACAAGTCAGTCAGACCGGGTTGGCAGGCCAAGCCACAGCTGCAGCCATGGTAAGACAGAGCCTTATCCTCCTTGTGACTCTTAAGTACTCAAGTTCATCAGTCGCCTCAACACTGTGACAGCTTATAGGCTGTGTCTCAGCCAGCTAGATCCAGCAGTTCAAGCAGAGACAATCTGAATTGAAAATCTCTTTGGAATTGATATGAGTCTCCTGCTACATAGTGCCATAAAACATGACCGTAATATACTGCATTATTGCTAACATCTTCCAATATGCCATCAGACAGCCTCACTTGCACAATTTACACAGTATGCTCTGTCTACTGCATTCTGTTAACTGAGAAAAATGTTCACATATAAAACAGGACAAAAAGGAATTTGTTACATATGCATAAATAAAAGAACAGCCAATATTTACATATAAAACAAATCAAATGTAATCTAAAAAACTTGAAAAAACCTAAAATGTAATTATATATGTATATGTCAGTATCCGCTAAAGAGATAATGATAGGCATATGCACATCACAGAAGTGAAAAGTACTCTTTGTTATGTTCATATGGAACCAGTTAGGTCAAGTTGTTTACACGGTTTAAATTTTGTTTTCAGTAGATGTTTGTTGAATGCATATACTGTAACTGATCTGTAGCATCTGCAAAAGTATTCACTGCTAAAAATAAATCAAAATATAACATGTTGCATGTTACTAAAATTAGTCTGTTTAAAAAAAATGTCAAAAATATTCAGACATACTTGAAGAAAAAAAATGAATTGTGACTGAAATCTTTGCTTTGAGTTTCTGCAGGCATATCTTATTAGTAGAATTGATGAAAATCTCACCAGCTGAATATGCAGCTCCTTTCAAAAGCAATAATACTCATTAAACGTTTTCACATTTTAGCTTGTTATCTCCTAACTTCAAAGTATTTTATTATTTTTATGCGAGAGGCCGACCAAACGTGAAATGAAATTATAAACTGGAAGTAAAATGATAGATTTTCAAAAAAATCCATTTGGATTTTTATCTATAGTCAGGAATTGCTGTCTTTAAAATGTGGACTTTGTTGCCATTTCATTATGTCAATCATGAGCTACAAAAACATCAAGTTGTAAAAAAAACTTTATAGTGCAGAAATTATTGTTTCTGTCATACAAAAGAAAATTATGTTTTCTCTTTACATTGGTGAATAAAAAAAAATCGCACAGCAGCATTTCCTAGGCCTAAAGAAGTATCATTTTTGTTGCAGAAGATGCTGTGGAACCATGATTGGATATAATAACAGCTTTCCAGTGTAATAACAGCTACTTTGTTTGTCATCGCAATGCTAAATTTAGAGCATGTGTATTTCTTCATAGCCATCTGCAAATGCTTAGTCGGTACAGTCATGTACGGTGGATCCTAACAGTAAACACACTTCTCCTAAATCCCAGTTTTTATGTAAGCAACCTGTCTAAACTTTTTACTTGATTTTTTTTAAAGGTAAAAAAAAATCATGCAAAACTAATAAAAAAAAATAAAGGACTGTGTAAAAAAACTATTTGCACAAACTTTGGCAAAAATGCACATTTTGTTTGATTTTCTTATTATTCATTCTTTCTGAGTTCACATCTGCATCATAACAGTAAGTCAGACTATCCTGGAATGTGGCATTTTTATAACATTTCTAATTTGCTTTTTTTTTTTTTTTATCTAAAGCTAAGTTAAAGATAATCAAAAGGATCTATGTGCATGAACATGTTAGTCAGGAGAAGAGTGCAGTTGATTCCAAGATAACATATGTAGTTTATGTAGTTTTTCAAAGCATTGGGACACTAAAGAGCTGTCTTGTTTTGGTTCAGTGTCATCATTATGCATAAATTTGCTATATTTGTTTAATAGACTTAATTTTTTACTCTGAAGAGCAGTTTCGTTCTTTTATGTAATAGATATGTAAAGGAGGCATCCATCATTCCACCCAAAGCTTTGCAGTAAATGCAATAAATGGAGCTCCACTCTGTGTTTTATGATCCTGGACGCATGTTTCATCTGTTGATTTGTGGCACTTCTTCGGGCTGGCTCTCATAAAACCAAGTCATCTTTCATTTAACAGTAACATTTTCAGTGCCTGCTGTGTTTTTCATTGACATCCCTCTCTCAGAGCCATAAAATTGGCATAATAGGTCTAAAACTCTGCTATTTGTGCAAAGCTCCACTAATTTTACTACATTTTGATTATATTAACTTCCTTTGAGCTCATCTAGTGAAATACATCAATTGCATTTTGAGGGTATATGTATTTACACAAAATCATAGTAAATCTTTACTAAATCTACGTATTAAAACAAATTGACTTAATGTTTTTTTAATCATTTAATCACCCTAAATATGTTTTTGTGACTGTGCATGAATATTTATGTGGTATACTGCATTCAGATTATTTTGTTTTTGTTTCCCCCCTCCTCTCACCTTTCCACAATGCTGTCCTCCATGATGCACCTCTTCTTGCTGTTACCTGTATGTTAATGCGCTTGAACCCCATTGGCCCACTGCCATCATGTGCTCGCTGCCTGCTATGTAAAGACTCAGTCGACCGCCAAAGCAATGAAGCGACCCCTCGAGGCAGCTGTAGACCTGGTACTTTTCACCTTTTGCTTTGCATGTAGCTGTTGTCATTTAAAAAAAACTTTTTTTAAATGTTTTTCTCATTTGTGATTTACAGCTTCTTTGTGTAGCATCTTTTCTGTGAACAGCCACCATCAGTAAATGCTTAAACAACCAAATTTGTTCTTTGTTTTTGTAAATATTTTATCCTCATCATAATTTGATGCTTCAACTGTGGTTGTTTTTTCCCATCTTTTATTATTGTTTTCAGTATAAAATGAACTCTTTAGCAATTTAAGAACAGGTATTACAGTTGAACACAATGAGAGAGGATTTATAAGGCTTTACGAGTCTTCCTGTCACTTTTCAGGCCTTCCCACCCAGCGTCCTGCAGCCCTTACCAAAGAGACCAGCCCTTGAGAAGAGCAGCTGGGCCAGCTCTCTCCTTTCACCCAGTTTATTGCACTACCAGCAGGCTTTGGCTAATTCACAGTTGCAGCAGGCTACAGCAGCATTTTATCCTGCAGGTGAGCTTTTTATCAGAGACGTTTATACAACTTCATGATGCTGTTTGTCTATTATACACCAAGCAAAAAAAAAAAACAGCCTTCATTCTGTAAGTTTTTTATTGAGACTAAAGTATATAGAAAGTCTGTTTATTAATTTAACTCCTGAAATTGATCAAAGTCACATCCGACTCATTTGATTTAGTTTTAATTTTTGAAAGCAGTTGACTGCTCTGGATTGCTTGCAACATCTTGATTTTATTTTTTAATGAATAATTTGGAACACCTCATATAATTTTTTTCTTCTACACCTAGATTATGTGCTGCTAGTGTTTCTCACATAAAATCCCAGGTCAATGCAGTGTTGATTGAAGGCACTGTGTATCTCATTTCTGGACTTCAGTGACTCCATAATGTCAGAAACACTTTACCTGGTCTTTGAAACCTGATGATGCATCTGGAGGTCATACTGGGATTAAAAGGATCTGATATATCAAGGTTTTCCAAAATGATTACGTTTTTTTTATTTTATTTTATTTAATTTTTCAAATTTAAAAAAAACAAAACATGAGTTTTATTAGCGTTTGCTATGATTTCAGTAGGCCTTAAACTGAGCAAAAGATTTAACTTTAGACATTTTATTTTTATTTTATGTTGTATAATAAAGTACCAATTGCAACTTTCCAATAAAATCGCCTTTAAGTTTACTTTGGTAACCCCAGGTTATAGAAACAAAGGTTTTTATTGACAAAAATCAATACTTTGATGAAGGATCAAAACCAGTATCCTTGGCTATATAGAAGACAAAAAGGCAAGAGGCAGGACTAAGTGAATTACTGTCATTTTATTATTAAATCCCAAAAATATTGTCTGAAGTTGTTGTTGCAGCATGACATCTATGTTGTAAGTTACATCTGCAGGATGTCAGAAGGGATTGTTGTTTTGTGTTTCACCTTCTCAATCTCTGCAACTCTTTTTCCAAAAAAGGAGAAAAGATATTTGTTTTCCATAATGTTTGATTTGTTTTTCCATTGAACATTAAAAATGAATTACTCCAAGGTATTTATTTTAATGTGAAACACAGTAATAATAAAAATATGGGAATCATTGTCTTTTAGCTGTAAGTATTTGAACACCAGTAAAAAAAAAAGTAAAAATATTACATTTTATTTGATATTAACTGAGTAAACATCCAAAGTCAGTTTGTAAAAAAACTAAATGTACTCAAACAGACATCAGGATGGTATTAGCAGTGCAGTCCACCCAATGACGTAATCCAATGCTGTTTAAAAGTAGATATTTTAGTAGCTTGTTCCTTTGGATTATGTACAGTATGTGTTAGTGCAATGCCAAGGAGAAATGCCGGTGATCTCAGAAAATCAAATGGTGCCGTCCCTCCATCTGGAAAGATAATAAGCATTCATTCTAGCTAGCTATCATCCCAGTAGTTCATGTTTCATTAGGTTTACCCCAATGTCAAACTGTGCAGTCCCCATTGAAAGTGTATTAAAACCAAGAAATGTGCATCTTTTGATTAGTTCAGAACAAAGTACACAACATAGCAGTCTGGGCTTGCAATATTACTTCAAAAACAGACCAAAAGACTATTAAGCGGTTAAAAAAAGGACCTGGACTAATGAAGAGCTGGTAAATAAATACACAGTTTAGCTGAGAAAGATGACAAAAGCCCACTCTGAGTCTTTTTTGGTGGTTTCTTATTGTCTTAAGGGTTTTTTCTGTTTCTTAAAGTCTTTTTACAAACAGCCACATATTCTGGGATGTTTAATGGAACTCTAGAGTAAATTATAGTAGGTCTGCAATTTTTTCTGTTATTAAGAAACAGTACATCATCAGTCATCAAAGTTTTTTTATTGCTGTGAGGACATGATGACTCTTGTTTGCTTTTGGAGCCAATAGCAGAATATTTGGCAGTTTTAGCTGCTTAAAAGTAATAACCAGCCATCAACAAATTGCTATAAATAAAGAAATGTTTGCATTTATGTTACTTTCATATTCTTCATATGAATGGTTCTGTTCATCCTGTTTGGTTTTACTTTCTTTGAACATGATGATCAGAAATCTGTATGCTCAATAGAACACAATGATAAGGACATGAATAATGCGACTTTTTTCATTGTGTTGCTAATTATTGCTAACAACTAAAGCCAATAGCATGCCTTCTATGGATTCAAACCGTAAAAAAGCATTTTCAGATATGGACATCAGGCAGTATGACCGGTTTAATGTGATACTAATAAAAGTAAAACTGTTCATTTCTGCAACTTTAACTTGATGCTCTCATCCCCTCACTTTGGATATTGAACTCTTTGGCTGAGATTCAAGACACTCAGAACTTGTTCAAAACACGTCTTATGTAACATAATATACAAGTAAACACATTTTGACAGGGACAACTTATCTGTAGAGGGGATCTTGCCTAAATGAAAGCGGATACAGAACATTTTAAGCAAAGGAAGCTTGAAATGTATTGCAAATGTTGGAAATGAGATCACCAAAAATGTATTTGAGTGTTTTATTGACAGCATGAAAAATAAAACACATAAATACATAAACTGTATTTCCTATGCTTTCTTGTTTGTTCACTAAACTATGCCAGTGTAAACTCATGTTAATGTGTTGGTCAAACTAAGTTTGTTCTTCCCATTTTGTAATCACACAGGTTCTGTCTTCTGCATGACTCCTGCTAACAACATTGGTATGTTATTTCATCTTCTTCAAACTGTGTTTTCCAGTGAAGATCAAATAATTTGTTTACAGCACTAGAAAACCAAAACACCATTGTGTATTGAAATACGATTTCTTATGGCACATTTTTTTTGCTTTTCTGATCATATAGCCTTGGGTATAAAACTTCCTCTTTTATTCCAAATGGTTATTTTTGAAACTTCATCACTGTTTGTAGGTTTTCTATGCTCTACTGGGAAGAATTAGGAAATTTGTTCAGCATTCTTGACATTTAAAAGTTTTCAATTTTTAAGTGTTTTTTAATATCTGTGCACTTGTGGTATTTGTCCATTTCTGAGCAAATTTCCTAATTAGATTTCTTATTAGTTCTCCTTTTATGTTTTCCCTTGCTGTCTTGCTTTGCCGTGTGATCACATGCCATCTGCTGGTCTAACCCAATGATGGCTTGCTGCTACTGTCATTGTATATTTGCTTGGCCAGAGAACGAGAAACATTGCTATGGTTACCATAACGCTCCACCTCCCTTTTCATTGCTTCCATGGTTCCCCTCCTGAAAAAGTCCCCATGATGTACAGTGCTACGCCTGCTACTGTCTCTGCAGCAGCCACACCTGCCACAAGTGTCCCCTACGCAGCAACAGCACCAGCCAATCAGGTTTGCTCCTTTTTAAAGCTTTCTGTGGTAAATCCTTGAGCTCTGTATCAGTGCTTCATCTTTAAATCAAGGGAGTTGCTTCATCAGCATTGGGATGCCATGCTTGCTTTACAGCCATAAAGCTTCGTATACCTGTAGACCTTCAGCAGAACTGCTAGGCTGCATTTCATTCCTTTCCCTTACTATAGACAACACCTCCTAAGAAATCTTAACAGTGTTGTATTTATTTTTTATTGCATGTTTTGTGCTTTGTTCATTGTCGTCTTTTTAAGACTTAAACAGCAGCAACAGGTTATATTAGGAATTGAATGTTTGTGAGCATGATGTGTTTATTACATTTTACTGAGATTTTCTTTTCTGAGTCCTGCAGTAACTTTGTGAAGAGTGAAGCCAAAAAAAAAAAAACAACAGTATTTTAGTCCTTCTTTTTACTCAAAATGATATTTAATGTGCAGTTAGAGATAAAAATTTACGCACACTCATCAACAGCATTGATGCCATATATTTTTGGCTTTTAATGACACATTTTAACAGTAATTTGTTTTGGGTGGACAAACACGACATAAAACATTATTATTCAAAAATAAGACATTAGCGCACAAGCAGGGTTTTATTGCCATCTTTCTCTGAGCAACGAAAGTTGTATTGTGCATCCTACAAACAGGGTCAAATATATACATACACCCACACTGATGCATAGTCCATACATGTTCAATATGGCCACTCAAAACTAGTTTGAATATGTTTGGATAATCATTGTGTTTCACCTGTCAACAGTATAAAACCTTTTAAAATGGTGTCATATTCAACATATTTTTACTTCTGTTTATTTCTCCCAATTTTTTTGAATCTCTATAAATTTGTGGAATAATTGCGTTGAATTTTGTGTTGCAGATTAAAGCAACCAGCTCTTTGTAACATGCTTTTCTTTATTTTGGTTCAGGGTACAGTTGTAAAATGCAGGACTGTTTTTCTTTTGTTAAATATAACAAACTGTATCTCATGGATGTTGAGGAACTTTTAAAAAGTGTAAAGCTGCTAAAAAAAACATATTTAAAAACCTGTCGTGTGAAACTATTCTTCTGCTTTTGAAACAGATCATCCTCAAGTAACCATCAGAAACAGACATCAGTGCCACGTCGCAGCAGTCAGAGGTCCTTTACAACCTCCGTACAAACAGTCCACTAGCCTCACACACAGCATCCAACAACCTGCATGTTAATAATGTTGCTACTGAAATGAGGGTTTCTTTGCATTATAGAAGCTTTGCTGTAAGTGCACGCTTTTACGCCTGTGTTAAATGCATTTTCAATTATTTGCGTGATGCGTTGCCCCCTTTGCCGGTTCTGTTGAAGTCGAGGATGAAAGTATTTTGTCTAATTATACACATTGTACAGTAACCTGGTCTGTTAAAAAGGCATTTCTGAACAATTACAACAAAAAACCCCCACAAACAGCAGACAAAACAGTGTAAATACAATATAAAAATATTCTTTTGAACTAATCTTAACTCAAATAATAGAGCTCTTACTTGTAAACCATTTAAGTATGTAGATATGTATGGTTGAAAACATTGATTTTGGTCACAGAAATGTCAGGTTGGTCCTATATTGCAGATTGTTTTTATCTTCTTGAATGTGCTATTTAATTAAAGGTTGTTTTTTTTTATGACAATTTCATAGTGCCAGATTTAAATATATTTAACAAAACCAGTGGAAAGCACTTATTCTAACTTTTAACCTCATGTTATGTTAAATGATAGCTGGCTTGTGGACATCCCTTTAAAATGCTCAGAAAGCTCCCTAGAGAACTGGATCAGTGCTCCACCTTCTGGTGTGCCTTTGCATTGCATAGACAGGCTCTATGCTGAGAGGAAATGCTGTATAATTCATCTGATGTCAAATAGTAGACCCATTCATAAAACATTATGTCCTTTTAACAGTATAAACTTCATATTACAAGTCAGATGCTTAGAAGATACGGTTTAAGCTGTAGGAAGAGCGGCTACAGACAGGAGAGATTGCGAGGAATACAACTGCTAATATTTAAACTAACATTGTTGCGTGAACATTGGCAGAACTGTTTTGTTTGAATGTTACAAGTGCCTAAACAATTGTAGGTAGAATTGCAAAACACAGTCAATATTTTCAGAAAACAGTGTAAATACTGAAGTTACTTTCTCTGAACCTAGATTTTATTTTGAGTGCCTGGAACTTTCCTGCATCTTACCAGCTGCTTTCTCAAACTTACTGAGTTCCTATAGAAAAGGAGCAGCATTTTGAAGTGACTTGTAACTTTTCTTGAACTTGCGGTAATATGTTTTAAATCGGTCCTAAGAACCTTCCAGGTACCCAGATACAACTCGCCTCATAATACACCCTGCCTCATGAAAATATTTAGTATGTTCCACGAAAGTACTGAACAAGTTTTGTGTCAGTTCCTGAAAAGAGAGCTTGGTAAGTTGTAGGAAAGTTCCACAGGGTACCTGGTAAAATCCAGATAGGTTCCACAAAAGTTTCAGGAAAATACCTGGTAGGTTCTCTAAAAGTTCCAGGAAAGTGTCAAGTTTTAGGAAAGCACGACCCTAACGTTCCTGAAAAGTAACCTCTAAGTCCAGTAAAGTGCAGGCTGTATTTTATAGTGCTACTGAATTGTACATGCAATGACATCTGAAAAAAGTTTTGTGTGAAAATCACTTCAGTAATGTACTAATTAAGTTTGAGATAGATTTCCATGCATAGTTTGCAGTGAATTAGTATTTTCTCAAAATTCAGATAAGGTTTTGTCCTTGAATACATTTCTCACTGATGTTCAAACAGATGTGTGCTGTGCATAGGACCTAATATCCAGGTTTAAAATTATATTGTTAAAAACTATGTTAAAATACTTTTTGATTTGATAGAATTTTAGAAATAAAAATTGTTTTGGTGAAATGTATTTGTGTGGTTAAACCATCACAGCAGCCAGACTGACATTTGTTTCTTTTAAGAAAATAATTTCTCTCTTGTATATTTGTATTTTCTATTCCATTCTTTAGTTCTGTGTCTTACAAACTTTTGCCGATTCCGTATTTGTTTACCATCCTTGAATCATTTCACACTTCATTAGTTGACACTAAAATATGGATATTTTGCTAGTTTAGGACCCTTAAAGTGTATTCTATTATATTTTATGATGAATGTAATTTATTAAACTGACTTTGGATCTGTTCAGTTCCTTTAAAAACCTTGACTTATGGTTTTAGCCTACTAAAATAAAAAAATCAGGATAAAGAAGAATCCGAAAACATTCAGTTCTTGTCGCTGCCTTGTTACCTGTAAGAGACAATGAATGTCTGTATAAACAAGGCTGTTAAGTTGCTTGTTATGTGCAGAAGTGCATTGTACCATTTGTACAAAGATCTGAAACTAAAACAGCTTGTGATTTAATGATGCTATTGCGATTGTTTGTATAGCACTTTCTTTTTAAATGTTACAAAGTGCTTTACGTGAGTATGTCAGATGAGTTGGTTCAGAAAGGTCTTCTCAAGATTAGAATAATAAAATGTGTAATAAAGACATTAAGATATTTAATTGGATGTCAGGAATTAAAGTGATTGAAAACTTTCCAAAATTATGCACAACCCTTAAAATTATTTGATTTTATTTTACTTTAAAGCCACAAACTCCAGTATTTTATTGGTATTTATTTAATACACAAAGACAAAGTGAACATAAAAGGATACATGATACATATGTTTTTGATCTTTCAGATAAGATCAAAAACATATGGAAAGCAGTTGTTTTTAAGCTCTAAAGAAACCGTAACAGTAACAATTAGGACTCCTAAGTTTCATATCTTTGGGTCTGCAAAGACCTCAGGGAGAATCTTGACAACGAAACTACTAATGTTTCACTGATGAAAAGTGTAAAAACATAAAAAGTACAGTTTGAAGTTTGTTACAAGGCAAGTATGGCACATAGCTAAAATGTGGAAGAATGTACTTTGGTCAGATGGGAAAAAATTGTAACCATTCGACTTGTGTCAAAAGTTGTATGTGTGGCAAAAAACCAGAGTCCTCCATGAAACAATTGAAATGTGGCACCTTTTGGTTGTCTGTAGGGTGAAAAGACCAGAACAGCATGTGGGTGGGGGGGCTGCAGGCCACGCAATATTGTTACGCCTCTGGGATACAGCGGAAAGTTGTCACAGCTCTGTAGCAGCTGACATATGTAGGAGTGAGCCAGCTTTCTGACTCAAAGGGTGATGTAGCGATTTACAGCAATCGTGCATCACTTCACTCACATCATTTCTTGGTATTAACACACCCCAGAGGGTTCGTGCTGGAGAGCACAAAGATGGGATAGATCACTGGCTGTCAGCCAAGGGTAGACTCTTCAGTACCATTTATGCATGAAAAAGGACAAAACTGGAAAGGCGACACTTCTCCAATGTGTTTAAATGCCTATAACGAAGATGTTGGACAATCATTTTCCTTTTGTTTTTCAAAAGCTACATTCTTAACTTGATTTGTGATTTAAGAAGAGTGGTTTATTGTGATTTACAATATATATATATATATATATAATATATATATATATATATATATATATATATATATATATATTTTTTTTTTTTTTTGTAAAAAAGGATTCTAACTTACCAAATTGCCCTGAACATACAGTTCAGTGCAATGACTGCTTGTGAAACATTGTCATGGCAGCATTAACCTGGGAGGATGCTGCTCTGAGTTCAAATGAAGATGCAATATACTAAAGAGAGGGTAATCCTGGAAGAAACGCTGTTGGATGCTGGAAAGGGTTTGAGATTAAAGTTGAGTTCACGTTCCAGCAGCATGTAGTAGCTTTCAACATACAGCCAGAGCTACAGTCAAGTGATCATCGCAAGATTCGTGTGTCCCAGTCAAAGTCCAGACTTAAATCTGCTTGAAAATCTGCAGCACTTCACAATTATGCTTTACTTTGTCTTTGCCTCTTACATAAAATCCATTAAAATACTGTGAAGTTTGTACTGGTAGTGCAACAAAAGTGAATACTTTTGGAAGGAACTGCATATGTAAACTTATTTACAGCACGAAACAATCTACAGTGGACCAAAACACTAAAACTTTCTGCTTACGTAGCCAAATTAGCTATCCCAAGACCTTACTCATGTCTTTAAAAGTAAAAATAAAACAAGTGAAAGTCTACTCATCGCTTTTAATTGAGTCTCTCAAATCTTATATAAAGTCCCTGATGTCTCTAACGCTTGTTGCGAGTGCATTTCTTACACACTGCTCTATGTAATGTTGAAGCATTAATAGTTCAGCAGTTGTATTCAATTTCAAAGTATGATTGCTTTTAACTTCAGTTTGTCACTATCTTTGGAAATTAGATTTTTTTTTTTTTAATTTAGCTTTCAAATGTAAAGCACATTTCTGAATATTTGTGTTACTTTTATGGACTAAGAGCTTAGCAGGAGGAGCAGGAGGCTGTTTTAGAGTTGGATATTTAAAACATGAGGATTTGGACATTAAGAATGTTCAGTCTTACTGAAAGAAACACGTCTCTTCAGCACTTTGGCAACTGTCAAATGACTAAGATTTATTTGTGATATTTGCCTTATCTTTGATCTATCCTGAGTTTGTATTTGTTCTGAAACTATTGCGTTGTTCAGTGAAATAAATTTTACAGATGTTTTTGTTAATATTCAATAAGTTTAGAGTTGTGGTTGCAGATTGTATGATGAACCCAAATGACATGCTGACATGCTTGACGTTTATTTGATTGATCAGCCTGGCAATATGATTCATTTAAAGAGTTAGCCATCTCTTAAAGCACCCATTCTGGAGAAATCAGGTTGCATCCTGGTGGGACTTGTTTGTGCATAATAATACATTTCATGTGGACAGTTTTGTTCATGTAAATTCAAAATTGTGTAAAATTTGAGATATTGCAAATAAAGTAATGTCATATACATGCAATGCTGTGAAATCTGTTTTTTATATCTGATTTTAATATTTCTGGCCCTATATCAGACCAAAGAAATCCAGATTATAATCAGAATTTAGTTTGGACTCCAAGGTTATCTGCTAAGTAAGTAAATGGCATAACAAAGCAAAATAGCTTATCCCAAAAAAACGAGCTTCCAGGTGCAAATGCCTTTAAAAATGTCACATAAGGCAACTGATCAGCACTTTTGAGAACATCACTTTTTCTTTCTTCTTTTTCCCTCTTTAATGATGCGTTTTCCTTCTTCTGTTTTATTGCACAGCTGCAGCAAAGCAATCGAGCCATATGCGAGAAATCTGAATGTCATCAGGAAAATCCAGCAACTATTAAACTCCTGGTGGAGTTTTGAAGAAGAACCAGAGCATGCTGTACAATCCAGATCTTTAACGGATCACTTTCATAAGTGTGTTCCATTGAGAACATCTTCTATTTGCTTTTTTAACATGTCCTATGTTGGAAACAAAAATCTAAATCAAAATTTATTTACCTTATTTATGTTTACTGTAGATTTACCCGGTGAAACTATTTACACTCAGATGTTGTCAGTAGGGAGGTTTCAGAAAGTTTGGTAACCTGTGGCCAAACGGGACAGTAATAATCTTCTGGTAGCTCTCAAGAACCAGAATCCATTAAAGAGCCTATGAAATATTTGTTACAGTTAAACCCCAAATTATTCTCCTTCCTCTGGCAAATTTACACTAAACTAAACTTTTAATTATCTGATGAAGAATCTGTGGAGGGAGTTTAAAATTAAAGTGAAGGGAAGGAATCTTTCTAACCCTGGTATTGTCCAAATTGCACTTGCAAACTTGCAGAAAGCTGGTTAGCAATTATAAGGATTTGGCAGATTTTTCAACAGGTTATTCTGAAGGTTATAAATCATTTTTGGCGTACCATCTTCTTAAAGAAGAATGTAAAAAAATTAGATTTACAAAAATGATTATGTTTGGTCATCGTTTAAAAGACACCCGTCTCATTTATCGGAAGCAAACGTCTCGGTTGAGTGGAAATTCATTTCAATCTAAATCTGCCAAAGGTATGAATAATTTTTAGATTAAAAACAATAATAATCCATGCTTTCAAAAACGTACCTTACTTGAAATATTAGCACATATATTATTATTAGCACAAATATTAGCACAATATTAGCAAATATTAGCACATATTAGCATTACATTTCTGCGAAATTTGAAACATTGAAGGTCTTAATTTAAGCTCTTTCAAATTGTTTCAATATTTTCCAGCTTATTATGAATAAATACATTAAAAATGGAGACTAAATGCTACGGATCACGTTGCCCATCTTTTTCTCTTAATTTCATATTTATAAAAAAACATTAAGCGTTTCAGTAAATGTATTGGGTGGCCGTTGCCCAACATGCGTCCACCACCGGAGCCCCTCCATCTCTTGCCTTTCTGTGTCGGGGTCAACAAAAAAAATGCGCCGTTACCACAGCAACAGCATCCGGCGCTTGTCTCCTCCTCTTGGATACACATCACGGAGCCGCTCCTGTGATTGGCTGAGCCCTCCTTCGATGTCACCGCGGAAAACGAATGACGGGAATTTTAACACATGAACGGAAGCGACACCGCGGAATCTCACTGGCTCCCGCAGCGTGGCTCCCATTCAGACACGCGTGAGGCCTGCGAGGCGCGGAGGTCGCCATTGGGCTGCTTTCTTGTCCGTCATATGAGGGAGGGCCGTCTTTTTTTTTTATGTGTATATATATTTATTTATTCCCCTGTTGCCTCGATACGGAAGCCGAGCGGGGACCGGCTGGTTACGCAGCGGGCCGCGGGTCTCCACCCGAGAGAATGGCGGCTGGAATCTGCTCCGGGTCGCGGTGAAGAGGGTGAGAGAGAGAGAGAGAGAGAGAGAGAGAGAGAGAGAGAGAGAGAGAGAGAGAGAGAGAGAGAGAAGAGGAGACATGCCGGAGATGGTGAAGAAAAAAACAAAGAGACGCAAGTTCTGTGATTTGGTGTCGCTGCAGTTTTAGCTTGTGTTGCTTTTACCCCACAGCTTAAGAAATTGTGCCTGCAGTTTGTTTTTTGTTTGTTTGTTTGTTATTTTTACCAAATCCCCCTTTTCCACTCTCAGCGTTCTCGATGGAGCAAGTTTGTTTTTTTGTGATGCACAGCCGGGGAAGCAGATGAAAACCCCGCACGGTCCACATCATCGGGCGATATTTTCATCCTCCCTGTGCGCGTTTTTACGCGGGTGGGTTGGGGGGCTGGTGGAGAGCAGCTGCAGTCCGCGGATGCCAGCGTTCGGCCTGTCTGCGATGGGGAAGAATTCCCACAATGAAACCCTCCGAGTCTTTGTGCTCTGCATTAGTTGAGCAATGACAGCGCTGTTGACGAGCCCGTTCAAAATGGGACGCGGATGGTGAGCGCCAGTGGGAGGGGAAACATTTTTGACTTTATTTCAATGACGCGTGGAGATTGATGTCCCTTGCCAGCTGATTTAAAAAAATAATTTAAAAAAAGAACCCACGATGCGCGAGTACAAAGTGGTGGTCCTGGGCAGCGGTGGGGTCGGGAAATCAGCCCTCACCGTGCAGTTTGTCACCGGGACGTTCATCGAGAAGTACGACCCCACCATAGAGGATTTCTACCGCAAGGAGATCGAGGTGGACTCCTCGCCCTCGGTGCTGGAGATCCTGGACACCGCCGGCACGGAGCAGTTCGCCTCCATGCGGGACCTGTACATCAAGAACGGACAGGGCTTCATACTGGTCTACAGCCTGGTCAACCAGCAGAGCTTTCAGGACATAAAGCCCATGAGGGATCAGATCATCAGAGTGAAAAGGTTGGTGCAATGTTAGAGCCGCTTCCTGAACTCACTGTAGAGGGAGTTTGCGGCACGTCAAGACTGCCGCGGTGAGTTTTTGCTTTTTGTGTATGTATTTATTTATTATTATTATTAATTTTTTATTTATTTATTTTACCGTTTTATTGCAAATAAAGCCACGTAATCAAAAGTAAAAGCCTACCTCTCAAATTCAGGCTTCACATCACCGTTGTGACGTCACGCACGGTCACGGCTCTCAAACCAAGTGAAATACTGCCTGTAGAGGAAATCAGATCAAAAGTTTGTTCAATGGAAATGCAGAGAAACTAGAAAAGCTTGTGAGCTTCAACAGCAATAGACGAGGTGTTTGTGCGCATAAAAGGTTTTCACAAAAAAAAAAAGGTGCAGTGGTAAAGATATTGACAAGTCACTGCATAAACTGAAGCAGACAAAGTAAGGCCAAGCTTTGGTGGCTTATGCTGCTTTTATTGTTCCTCTGAAGTTGGAAGTGCATTTGGGAATTCCACCTCAAAAAACACTGTGATCCATTAATCAATATCTTTGTAACCAAAATAACTAATCAGTTTAACCAAGTTAGCTCCCTCCATTTCATTTCCAAACACTAGCTAGTCATTTTCCAGTGGAAATTGTACAGTATAGTGTGAATGAAAGGCATTTGATCATTTTTTTAATTAGTATTATTTTGGCTGCTGTCATTAAGTTTTTACATGCAAGGCAACCATTTTG